ATCATCATCAGTAGCATCGGAGAGTGCATTTAGCGCGGCAAGATTTCAAATTGGAGATCATAGACATTCATTAGCGGAGGACAGTCTAGAGATTTCCGTCTTATTCAGAGATTTGATTAATTCAGAAAGAAGAAATCTTGGTTTTGAAAAACTAACCACTAGGGAGGAAGAAGAATACAATGAGATACTTACCACTGGGAGCGATGATGGCATGGAGCTCATGGAACATCAATCAACATTGCCAATTCCAGTAGAATGTCCAAGAGATATTATTGATAAGTTACAAAAAGAAGCTATATAGGAGCTTACAAATATTAGTATGATAATTTGTAATTGGCTACTAAGAGGCCTAGTTCAAACAGAACCCTTCCTAGAAGGTGGCTGCGTAGATTAGGTGCTCTTCAAAAGAATTGTATTTGTATTTGAGATTTGAAAGTTCTATTAATAAAATAAATGGCTCTAAGAGATGAATTATTTTTATGATTTGTCGGTGTTACTTAATAGTTAATACTTTGAAATTATATTAAATAAATTATAACTCTATTATAAATTTATATTTACTAGATTATTTCCTTACAAGTCTTTTGTTTTAATATTTTATAATTCTTTACTTAGTTTTCTAATTTTCTTTTTAACATACTAACATAGTAATATTTAAGTTTATTAAATAAGTCAAAAATCTAGCCGTTGCAAACTTTAAAAACATAGTAATTTTCAAAAAACTAGAATTTTTTTTTAAAAAAAATACACTTAAGGCCCACGAATCCGTCCCGTCCCGTCCCGTCCCGTTTGGTTGGCGGGACGGGACGGGACGACCGTTTCGTCCCGTTTGTCCCGTCCCGTCCCGCCACCGTCCCGCCTAAATCTCGTCCCGTCCCGTCCCGTCCCGTTAAAATCGTCCCGTCCCGTCCCGTCCCGTCCCGTTGGACACCCATACCTGGAGCTGGTGGGTCCAAGAATGTGGTTCTGAATAAGTTTGTTATGATCATCTAGTCCCAGTGTATGCTGTTAATTAGAGGTTGTTTTAGCATCTTGTTGGTTGGGATAATAGAACTTTACCATATTCTGGGTTTTACTATGAAATTTAAGGTTGTTCCCTAAACCAAAAGATTTAAGCTGACATAAGTGTATCTAGAATGATAAGATATTATAAGACGATAAATGTTGTAGTTAGGTCTACAAAACTGTCAATATTGTCCCATTTGGACATCTGAAATTACCTCATCCTCAGCTCCAAATCAACCTAATGTTCACATTTTATACTACTGTCTATTGTCTATTGACACTGGGATCTTGAGAATTGTTTGGAGGTTGGGAGTATGTCACCAAACTCTTAAAAGCTTTAGTTCTAGTTGTTGTTTTGCTGCCCGGTAATTCTTGGTATAACTCCACAAACATTCTTGCTATGTCTTTTGGCTTTGTGTGTATTAAATCTGAAGCATCTTTCAGTTGTGTAATGGACTGTTGTAATCTCTTATGTTTAATAACAGAGAAGAAGTACTTAGAATTATCATCTTCCAGCTGATTCCATGTTGCTTTGCTTCTTTGTTGCAAGAATCCTTCTGGTAGATATAATGATCTTTTAAACTTTTGATACTATTCCTTCTCCTATGCTTGCAAGTTTTGATCCATGGGATTAGCCTGCAATTCTTTCTGTATTTGCTCTAGTTTAGTTCTATCCTCCTCAAATTCAGTTAGACTGTTTCTGAAGTACTGCTTGTTGAGCTCCTTTAGATTCCTCTTTAATGACTTCAGCTTCTTAACTACTTGTAGCATAGCACATCCTGTGTCTACATTCTGCCAAGTTGTTGTCACTACCTCCAAAAACTTAGGGTGAGTTTCCCAAATGCTACCATACTTTAAGGGTTTGCTAATCCTTCCAGGTGTATTAAGTAGTTCCACTTTGATTGGAGAGTGGTCACTAATGCCGGCTGGTGTTAGATGAATGTGTTAGATAAATGGAAAACAAGAATTCTACAGCAAGAAATTCAAAGAAATGAGGCTGCTGTTAGTGCTGGATCATTAGTTTTAGTTCTGTTTTATCCTTCGGTTCACATGTTCTTGCAAAAATATTTTCATGCTCTATTGGAGTAGTTGTATGAAAAAATAAGGTTTTGTCAGACCTCCTGTTAAAGAACTAATTCGTGTACAGACATATTGGGATGGACTTCCGAAAAGTTAGCATTGGCCTTGACAGTAGGATTTTTCATTTACCCCCTATCCCCCAATTTTTCGTCGTTTGCTCTTTCCCTTATATTTGGCATTGGCTTATAAAAGCCAAGACTAGAATAGTTAAAAGTTACAATTAGAAGAATGAAAGGGAAGATGCAACCAACCCATTCTCTACTTACAAAGTTACAATTAGAGAAAATTCAATACTATACCTATTCTTATTTAATGACTTTATTTATTCTCTTTTGTAGGTGGAGCAACTGAAGAAAGGGAAGATGGAGAAGTTGGAGCAACTGAAGAAAGAGAAGATGGAGATAGTGAAGATCTAGACCTTACTTAAGAAGAACTTTGAGTTGTTGTCGATATTCTTGGAGTCTTTTGTTATAACATTTGAAACTTTAACTTTTGAAGTGTTTGAACTGTAAAACTTATGTAATTGGGTTAAAACATTCTGCTATTATCGTTATTCTTAGCTTATTGGATATGAAAGATTATGAAGTGTTTTATCTTTTTATTGATATAATTTCCAGGTTATAATTACAAATATTTCCAGGTGGTAATGTCAATTAAAACGTTTAAAATAGCCTAATAGAACCGTTGCAATAAGCACAAATGTCGTTGCCATAGACATTCTAAATCGTTCCGATAGGTCTTGCAAACTGTTCCATAAAGTGTGATAAATTGATGCAATAGAAACAAAACCGTTACGGTAGCGCAATGAAACCGTTACAATAGCTGTAAATAAACGTTGCAATAGCGTACATAACCGTTGCAATAAACTATATTGTAACGGTTTCCAACCACTGTAGTAAATAATACGGTAACAGTTTACAACCGTTGCATAAACTATACGGTAACGGTTTTTAACCGTTGCAGTTGAAATGAATACTCGTCGCTTCAGACAGAGGGAAAACCGTTGCGATAGCTGGATCTATAGCAACAGTGGTGTCAGCCGTTGCCAAAACCGTTGCTGTGGATCGATTGGCACGCGAGCGGATGTCACGGTCGCTGAACCGTTCCGATACATCTATGGCAACGGTTGGCCTATCAATTGCAACGGTTTACCTGCTGTTGCCATAGGCCTATTTTCCAGTAGTGGGAGCCAATCTTGCAGGGCATGATAAGGATAAGGATAAACAGAGTTAAGAGTTTCATTTGAATTCAAACTTTTGTATATATCTCCTAAGCCTCTCTCCCTCATTTACAATACTCCTACTATGGTTGTACTTCTTCAGCTATAAATGTACTGATTTACATGACTATAAAATACAAGTTGGAATACCAAGTCTTCACTGTTTTAGTAATTAGCTTCTATATGCATTTGAGTTTTGATTATTCCACCTAGCAGGAAAGTGGGTCGACATGGGCATTGTATCGCATTATTTTCAAAAAAATAAATAAATTGAAAATTTTAAATTTAGGTAAAATACATAATTTGCAGAAACTAATTATATTCGCTAGCCAAAACTATATAAAATATGTATATTATGTATATATAATACACATATATACAAAAAAAAAATATACTTTTTATCGAATACGTGTTATTTTTAGAAGTGGCTAAAAATTATATATTTTTCTTTAAATTTTCCAACTGGGATTTTCTACATACTTGAAGCTTCATTTTTATATGAGAAAAACCACGTGGACCTCTTAAATTTATTTCTATTTTCTAACTCATTAAAAAATTGTTATTCAACCAGTCAATTAGAGTACTTTATCATACTCGGGAAATAAATATGTTTCCTTCTGTATTATTTCCTAGAACAAATGGGTGCTGAAAATCAGTAATGATTCACTAATTAATTATATTTTATGAGTTTGTTCAGCTCAGCGTGTTGTAAGTGTACTGTACAGCAGAGGCTTAATATTGACGGAGAAGTTTCATTGGATGTTCAAGATCAAGTTAACAACTTTAAGATATGATTAGGTTAAGATTTATTCAACATTGTGATCCTTGCGGATTCTTTTGATTACTCGAAGGAAAGGGTGAAGAAAAGAGGGAAAGGGAAAAAAATAAATTAAAAAAAAAAAAAAAAGACAAAAGCAAAGTGGGTTCCAGAACCAAATAGCCAGAATTGCAGAAATACCTGCACACAAAAATCTTAAAGCAATATTACTTCTTTTTTTGGTTGGAATATCTACCTAAAAATGTTAACTACTAAAGTTTATTAGTGTAAATATCCGATGTGGGTAAGTATTTACCTAGTACTTCTGTGTCCGCAACTCTGCACACATGCACCATCACAGGTATATCAGAAAATTAGGTTTAAGTTATACGTAAAAATAATATTTATACGATCAAATCATTTATAAAGTAATTACATGTAAACTTTTATTATAGGTATTATTAGTAATTTATAACCTAATAAAACTAATCGATAATTAATTTACCAGCTATCACATATCAAAATTCACTAACAGTGTAAAAAATCTTTCCACTATATAAATAGTTAATTTAAATTTTTGCAAGAATAAGAATGAAAACCGTTAGTGGTGTCTGTCAAGTAGGTTTAAGCCTGCTGAATGACATAAGAATGGATACTATTGGTGCTAGCTAGATCACCGTTCTTGTCTCTATTGGTTCTAGCTCCAAAAAATTCTCCGAAATGGACAACTATTCTATTAATTAATTATATATAAGTACATACCATAAGAGTCAATTAGATGATAAAAAACGTGTAATTTCTAACGTTCCATTTTACCTTTTATCCCATTTGATTGAGGATACTCTACAGGGACAAATATCCCTTTTTAACTTTTTTTGTTTGGTTTGTTTTCATAAATCAGTAAATAATCTCAACTAATCCTCCCTTTAAATATCTGGTCGGCTAACCTCAACATCAAGTCTTCCTTGTCCCTTCTCTCTCTACAAAGAAACAAAAGTCAAATGTCTTTTTTTCTTACAAGTTTCTGAAAGATATATATAGTACTATCTTCTTCAATTCTCATTTTTATTTGAAAATTAATGGGGTGCAAGCAATTAGTGGAGAAGCCAAAGCAAAAGCACAAGAGAGGATTATGGTCTCCAGATGAAGACCAGAAGCTCAAAGGATACATCCTCACCTATGGACATGGCTGCTGGAGCTCCATGCCTATCAATGCTGGTTAGCTAATTTACTTCATATTCTGCAAAATGCCACACACTGTTGCTCCTGTTAAATTTTGCTACCAACATTTGTCTGTTTACCTTTATCTCTTATTAAAGTGTAAGGCCATTTTGTCCCCCTAGAAACCTTTCTACTTTAGAGCTTGAATAATTTCATCTAGTACAATAGCTCTCTTAATTGTACTATTCTAAACGTGCACGAGTGCAAAAAAACAAAAAAAACAAGATTGTTGTAACTTGTATGACGTCCTTAATGATAATTAATTTGGTCATCATCATAATTGGTTTCCCTTTTGCCTATCTTCTTAATGCTGTTTTTCACTAGCGATTTCATTCAACAAGTAAACAAATTATCCTAATATCATATACTCCATTCATTTTATTTTGTATGATGTTGTTTGACTAGGCACAATTTTTTATTTATTTATTTATTTTTTAAAAAGAGGATGATTGTTGGAACATCTATTAGTAGTACATGTCATGATATATTTATGGCTGTAAGAGCATGTCATTAACATAAACTGAGATGTTTAAAGTTAATCGTTCTCAGATAGAATGTGCGCTTCTTTTTGAAACAGACTAAAAAAAGAAAAAAGCACCACATAAAATGAAACAATAGAAGTATATCAACTCGGTGCGTGAATTTTAAAAAGAGGAAAGATATAATTTAATTATGTATATAGCTTTGAAACTCTTTATTTTATTAAAAGAGATGGAAAAAGAAGACTAAAAAGACTACAGCTTATCATGACAAAGCTAAGGTACATCTCAGCCGAGTTTGTTATCTTTGCCGCACTACTTGGGAATTGTTTATAGGAACGAAGTACGACGACGGCAACACAAGTCAACATATAATAAAATTTTCTGTTATTAAGGAGAAATTCAAATCATTATCGTTGACATTTAATGTGGTATTCTTATTGGTTAATTATATTATAGGGTTGCAAAGGAATGGAAAGAGTTGCAGATTGAGGTGGATTAATTATTTAAGGCCTGGCCTAAAGCGAGGGACTTTTAACACTGAAGAGGAGGACACAATTCTGACCCTTCATGGCATGTTAGGCAACAAGTAAGAAACTTTGTCCCTTGGGATAATTAATCCTCTTTGTACTGCAATAAATCACCACGATATATGTACAATGAGTTTAAGTCATTGTATACGAAAAATATAAGAAATTTTTACACTATTATCAATGTAATTTAACTGTCTAAAGAAGGTTGTTACTTTAATTTTTAGGTACCATATTAGACTTGCTATTGTTGTAAGTATGTGAATTTAACCCGATGTTGTAAATAATTTATACATTATCAGCGCACATAATTTAAACTCATGTCCAATAACTCTTTAAAATTTGAAGGGATTGAGAGCGTTAACAGGCGCCCCTGTTATTTTAAACAAGGATCATTCAAGTATTTAATAAAAGATTCTTGTAAGTTGACTTGCTGCAGTTGACAAAAATTATAGTAATAGACCTTTTCCGAATAGTGACTGTAATTTTGGTACAACAATAACACAGTATAATCCCCTAGTGGGGTCTTTCCAATAGACCCTTGGCATCCTTCCCTCCAAGAACTCCCCACCTTGCTCTTGGGGTGACTCGAACTCACAACTGTTGGGAATAAAAAAATAATAATCCCGCCCAGGAATAATATCCACGGTAAATAACAATAACACAAGAGAGTAACAACGACACCAAATATTTTAACGGGATAAAATACAATACCCCAGCGGAGCAATATTACCACTATAATATTACAACTTAGTAGTGTCAAGAGACTACTACAACTTCGAAAGAAATAACACTCTTTATTTTAAACACCTCACTACAATATTACTCCCACTCACTATTTATCTCACAGACTACAATCTGTGGATTACTCTCTCTAACTCTCTGTTGCTTCTCTCGATTTGGTGTGCATACAATGAGAAATGCAGCTGCTATTTATAGTAGTAAATGGCCACCCAAGGAACCAATCAGAATGTTTTGTTTGTTGCAAGTTGTAACATGGGCAACGCCCAAAACCAATTCCAAATTGGTTTTGCAAATTGTTCTGCAGAGCCCACCATTTGCCTTTCTTTCAACCAATCACTATTTTTTTTTGTTTACTTATTATTTGAGGACTGGACCCCACAAATCTCTCACTTAATTTTGATTTTTATTCTTCATTCCAAGTCTTGATCTCAATCTCTGAAAATCTTCAAACTTGAGCGGCTTTGTAAAAATATCTGCAACTTGGTCATGAGATTTCACATATATGAGCTCTACTTTTTTCTTGGCACCACACTGCCTTTGCTTGTAGCCTTTAGCCACGATTCGTGTTTTGTATCTCTCCACTTCTCTATCAGCATTCTTCTTTGTCTTGTATATCGATTCTACTTCAATTGCTCGATCACTCTTGGGAAGAGTTGTTAACTCCCAAGTGTTATTCTTCTCTGTTGACTCGATTTCCTCCTCTACGGCCTGTCTCCACCTTTTGTCTGTAACCGCTTCATCAAAGTTCATTGGTTCACTGTCAGCAAAGAGACAACATAAAAAATTAAAATTAGTAACTTCTTCTGTGCTATCATAGAGCTCTCAAATACTCTTCGTCCTTTGCGACTGTTCATTTGAATTTTGTTGAGAAGAAGGAGATGAAACATTGGTTGGAGAAGGAGGTGGAGTTGTATCCTGCACAGGTTCCACGGTCTCTGGTTCTTCTTCATCACCAAAGTATGGAAGAAAATCATATGAAGTTTCTTCCTGAGCTTCCCAATCCCATGCCAATTCTTCATCCAATTCAACATCGCGACTTACCACCACCTTACCGCTGCTTGGGTTGTATAACTTGTAGCCTTTTGAACACGTATCATAGACAACAAAGACATGCTTGACACTTCGATCGTCAAGCTTTGCTCTCCCTTGATGTGGCACATGAGCATAGGCTATGCTCCCAAAGACTCTCAAATGTTTGACACTTGGCTTTCTTCCACTCCATGCTTCTTGAGGGGTTTGATCTCTAACATTTCTTGTTGGAGACCTGTTGTTCAAATAAACTGCACAAGAAACAGCTTCGGCCCAAAATTCCTTGGACATACTTTTAGCTTTCAACATACATCGAGCCATATTAAGAATCGTTCGATTCTTTCTCTTTGCAACTCCATTTTGTTGGGGTGAATAAGGTACCGTTGAAGGGCGACAAATTCCATGAGACTGACAAAAGTTATTAAACTCGTTTGAAGTGAATTCGCCTCCTCTATCGGACCTTAGAGCTTTAATTTCATAGCACTTTCTTTCTCCACAAGTACTTTAAAATTTTTAAAAGCAGCAAAAGCTTCAGATTTTTGGTTCAAGAAATAAACCCAGGTCTTTCTACTAAAGTCATCAATGAAAAGCAAAAAGTATCTACTTTTACCAAAAGAAGGTGGATTGATTGGTCTACACACATCAGTGTGAACAAGCTGGAGCGGCTTGGTTGATCTTGACATGGTCTCTTTTGGAAAACTCCTCCTTGCATGTTTTCCAAGAAGACAAGCTTCACACAATTGATTGGGATGGTTGATTGATGGTATCCCATGTACCATGTTCTTTTATCCCATTGATTTGAGCACTTCAAAATTCAAGTGCCAAATCGCATGTGCCAACACCATGATTCATCTTGCACATGAGCCTTCAAACACTTTGCATCAATTGTTTTAAGATTAGGAGAAAATAATCTATTCTTTGCCATATGCACTTTAGCAATTAGAATTCCACTTGAATCTCTAAGCCAAAGATGCATATTTTTCATGCGGATGTCATATTCCTTTTCAAGAAGTTGGCACAAACTCAAAATATTACTTTTTAATTTTGCTAGATAAGAAACATCTTGAATTAGCTTGTGAGTACCATCTTTACAGGAGATCAGAATCGTACCTATCCCTTCGATTTGAATCTTTGAGGTATCTTCAAAGGACACATTACTTCTCACCTTTTTATTGATATCCACAAACTTTTCTTTGCATCCACACATATGATTGCTTGCTCCATTGTCCAAATACCACGAGCTGCAATCATCCCTGTCTTCTTCCTTGAGTGCCAGCAATAACGTTGACTCATTTTCTTCTTTCTTGTCGTCAACAAGGTTAGCTTTCTCTTCAACATTGCTACGACATTTCCAAGAGTAGTGGCCAAATTTATGATAATTATAACACTCAATTTTTGATTTGTCATACCTTTGTCCATTATTTTCTTGGTAGTAGTCACGTCCTCTTCCTCCTCTTGTCCACGAGCACGACCTCTGAATGCTTGGTGGATTTTAACTTCATTGTTGAAGTTGTTACCATTACTTCTTCCTCGTCCATGACCGCCACGGCCTCGTCCCCGGCCATTCCCTCGATAGCTTTTTTCACCTCCATAATCCTTAAAGGATGCCTGAGTTTTAAGAAGTTGCTCCAGTGGCACTTCTTGTCTCCTCTTGATCTTTTCTTCATGGGCCTGTAAAGAACCCTCCAATTGCTCCACCATCATTGAGTCTAAATCTTTAGACTCTTCAATAGCACACACCACAAAATCGAATTTAGGTGTTAAAGTGCGAAGGATCTTTTCTACCACACGGACATCTTTTATGTCCTCCCCGTATCGTCTCAATTGATTTACAACAGCCTTCACTTTTGAACAATAATCCGAAATGCATTCGGATTATTTCATTTTTAAAACTTCAAAATCAACCCTTAGAGTTTGAAGTTTTACCTTCCTCACCTTGTCAACTCCTTGGAGAGAATTTTGTAAAATCTCCCAAGCTTCCTTTGAGGTGGTAGCATCGGCCACCTTCTCAAACATGACATCATCCAAACATTGGTGGATGAGCATGAGGGCTTGTTGATCTTTCTTCCTTGTCTTTGCCAAGACATCTTTTCCATTTTGAGGCAGAGCTTCCTCATTATCGGGTTTTGCATACCCTCAATCTACGATTTTCCACACATCCTGGGAGCCTAGAATGGCTTTCATACGTAAACACCATTTTTGATAATTATCTTTTGTGAGACGGGGATACAGAAAAGACAGCGGACTATTATTCGCCATGGCTCTGATACCACGTTGTTGGAAATAAAAAAAATAATAATCCTGCCCAGGAATAATATCGAGGGTAAATAACAATAACACAAGAGAGTAACAACGACACCAAATATTTTAACGGGATAAAATATAATACCCCAGCGGAGCAATATTACCACTATAATATTACAACTTAGTAGTGTCAAGAGACTACTACAACTTCGAAAGAAATAACACTCTTTATTTTAAACACCTCACTACAATATTACTCCCACTCACTATTTATCTCACAAACTACAATCTGTGGATTACTCTCTCTAACTCTCTGTTGCTTCTCTCGATTTGGTGTGCATACAATGAGAAATGCAGCTGCTATTTATAGTGGTAAATGGCCACCGAAGGAACCAATCAGAATGTTTTGTTTGTTGCAAGTTGTAACATGGGCAACGCCAAAACCAATTCCAAATTGGTTTTGCAAATTGTTTTGTAGAGCCCACCATTTGCCTTTCTTTCAACCAATCACTATTTTTCTTTTTTCTTTTTTTTGTTTACTTATTATTTGAGGACTGGACCCCACAACAATCTCTTGGTTGGAAGTGGAGGGTGCTTACCATCTAAGCAAGCCACCTTGTCATTTCTTGGAATCAAGTGAGATTTTGGTGACAAGTGAATATAACTGGACAGTTATTTATCCCAATGTCTCATTTCTTGGAATCAAGTGAGATTGAGAAAGGACATTCTTGTTTAGAACTCAATGATTTAATGATGTCTAGTCAATTATATACTGTAAATCTCCAATGAAATATTATACAGAATATTTTTGATATTAAGATTTAATATAACCAACCCAACTAGCTTGGAATTGTGGCATAGTTATTGTTATAAGTATCTAAACAAAGGTTATATATCCGCAGGTGGTCTCAAATAGCACAGCATTTGCCTGGAAGGACCGATAACGAGATAAAGAACCACTGGCACTCTTACTTAAAGAAGAGAGTGGCCAAAATTGCAAAAGATGAAGCTGGACAGGCTACATCTGGATGCACTAGCCTACATATTGGAAATAGAGAATCTTCACCTTCTTCAATAAAATTTGCTTCCCAAAATTCAAGTCCGCACTCATTTGAACACATAGAAGGTTCATTTGCAGATAGTGGTCAATCTGCTTCACTACAGGTTGACTTTGCAAGAGAAAATTGCAAAAGCAATTTACCAAAAGTCTTATTTTCTGAATGGTTCTCGTTAGAACAATTTAGTGGTCAAGAAGATTTCAAGAACACAACCAATCAAGATCTTTCCAAGAATAATTTTGGATGCAACGATTCAGTGTTCCCAGATGCTTTCATGCAATATGTTCCACTGATGAATGAAGTTACCTATGGGAATCACATAAATCAAGATTTTCACAGTGGGACTTTGGATGGAATATCCCAAAACCACTCTGCTAATGGTTTTGAGGAATTTATATCAGGGGAATTTAACATACACGGCAATGTGATGTAAATATGAGTTCTTTTTTTACTACCTCCTTCAGGAAGAACAACTTCTAATTGCTTTACCAAATAATGTTAGTAAATTGTCTGGAACAAATAATCTATGTTGCTCGGACTCTTCAAAAATGTCTTAAATTGCATGTCGGGTCCTTCAAAAGTAGTAGATTTTTTGGAACATCCGACATGGGTGCGGCAATATTATTGAAGAGTCCTCACAACAGAACAACTCAAACCAGAAATGTTATGTCCTGTTTTTTCCTCATAGAGTTGAGAGGAAGCAGACAGCAATGATCTAGCTATAGTTGTTTTTTATTTTTCTTTGCAAGTTAAAATAGATGTCTTTTCTAGTGTCCATACTTTACAAAGTCCAAGTACATTCCACTTGTAATAAAGTTAGAATGCCCTGTACAGGTTACTTTGTCCTCAGAGAATTAAATTTTGAAAATCCATCTATAAGTACTAAGATGGGATCCATAAAAAGAAGTAAGAAGCAATTAATGACAAGGAGGATTGTAACCAGAGAAGTAATTCGTGGAGCTTCCATTATTTTTCCTCGCAACAGTTTCGACGCATGTGTTAGTGAAAGATAGACTTGCCATGTCAATGTGGGTCTATTAACTGGCAACAGATGTCACCAAAGTTATGAAAAAAATGAAGAATGACATCTAATGATATGCGAAATACTTTCGGGCCCGAACATACTCGTACAATACCTATTAGTCTTGGAACTGATCATCATAGAATAGCCCCAGATCAGGTACGAGAGAATAGCCCCAGATCAGGTACGGGAGTAGGGGTGTATATGGACCGGGTTGGTTCAGTTTTTATCAAAATCAAACCAGACCAACTATATTGGTTTGGATTGGTTTGGTTTTTCGGGTTTTTCGGATTTTCAGATTTTTTGTTACTTACATATTACTTCAATCTTACTTTGTTAAATATTTGATAAGTATATATCTATTTAGTAAAAATATAAAAAATTGACAAACATATTATCGATTAAAATATTCTTATGGGAGAATTCTATTAGTAATACATAATAATAATTTTTTTAGTCGTCTGACAATAATTTTTCGTTGACATACACTTTCAGGTTAACCGGATTTAGTAATTAAACATAAAAATCAATATGATACCTAAATATTAGCAACCACTTCACATTCGAAAAAGATATAGGAATTTAATAGATCTTAACATATGATATGAATATGGAAGAACAAAGAGATAGACGCATTTCAGTAACACTTGATAAGAAAGCGATCATACAACCCATTATTTAAGGTCAATAAATATGGAGCGCTTCATATTCTATGAATATTTATATCCCGCAAGAGAATCCCAAATATTTCTAGACATTTTTTAAAGAAAATTTTATATAAAATCTTAAAAATATATATAAAAATGATATATTTACATGTCGGGCTGGTTCCGGTATTTTTACTCAATACCAAACCAAGTCGGGTTTTTTAATCGGTTTGATTTGACTTTTCGGTTTGGTGCGATTTTTTGGTTCGGTTTGTACACCCCTATATGGGAGAATAGCCCCAGATTAGGTATGGGAGAATAGCCCCAGATCAGGTACGAGAGAATAGCCCCGAATCAAGTACGTGAGAATAGCTCATAGTTACAAACGAGTAAAGAAATTAATCCCGGATTACGCGGGATTTACCATCATTGTGCCATTAGTTACAAATCAATTATGTAATGTACAATAAATGCAAAAAATAGTTGTAATGGGCAGAACAAGCCAATCAATTACGAAATTAACTACAGGTACGAGATTGACTCAACAGGCATGAGATTGACTCAACAGGTATAGGATTGAATCATCAGTTACGGAATTAACTCATCAGTTACGGAATTTCAGCATTTACTCAGCCATTGCAAGTTTTCTAAAAGTATTAGATGGATTGAGTAAATGTTCATAATAAGCCCATAATGCAAGGAGAATAGTTACCTAGATCTAGTCCTATAAATAGACACTTTACCACCATTGTAATCATCTAGTTTTTCTTCTCTACAATTCTATACATTGTAATTCATAGCAACTTGATCTCAAGTTTGCCATAGTTCGGCTCCTCAAGCTCTGTTCGGCTCATCATTCTATCACGGATCATCCAATAAGAATTATTTCTTCGCTGCTTTATTTTTATTATATTATATGTCTTTAATTTTTTTCACATTTCTCTATCATGTTGTATTCATAAAAAATTATATCTTTCGGATCGAATCGGTTGCTTGTGATCCAACATATAAAATTAGTTGTTTTGACCTTGAAAATTATTTTTTGGGTTAAACAGTTTGGTTCTGTTTGCCGGGACCTCAAGAAAATTTGCTATTCATCCAAAGATAATCTTTGCTTGTTTTCAATTTAAACCTTCTTCCTAGCCAAAATTAGCCAATCAACACAGTTGAGGACAACCGAGTTGGAGATGATTTTACAAGGCAAAATGAAAAATGGAAGAGTAGCCATGATAATAATAGGTAAGCAACAAACATAGAAAAATGGAGAATGGACATCAGTATATTGGTAGCATAACTATTAGTACCGAAACTGATGATAAGGGATCTGCGTCAAACAGCTCCGCAACAGGAGGTTCGGATATACCGGGTTATTTTAATTTAACAAATTTAGTTCTAACCTTACAAAAATAGATCAAGCAACAGAACGAACTGATAGAACACCTCCGGAATTTCCATCTATCCTACGAGAATGATATGCATAACCATTACAGCACCAGGCTTCAAATAGAAGAAGACACAGTAAGTCAAACCGACACTAATATGATGTCCAAAAACAGGTTCGAAAACCAAACGGAGGTGATTACAGATCTGATTGAAGGAGCTAGAAGAATAATGTCGGACCTTCCCAGAACCGAGGAGTAAAATTTACAACAGGTATAATACGAAGCTCCGAATAGAGGAAGACATTGAGGTTCAATTGAAAGTCGAAAACAAGTTCGGAGATCGAACGGAGGTTATTCCTAGGTGATCCAAATCTAAACGCAGAAATCTAAAAATCAGGTCTGAGCAAAGAGATACGAGATTTCCTTAGCGGGTTAAAAATGATCCAGACCTTCCCGAATAGGTAAGGAATCACCTTGCTAAATTGCAAAATTCCACAGGGCCTCAATTGAAGGAATCTCGAACGCAGATGGACAATTAGATAAATATTTTCTGTTAGAATCATTGAACTGAAATAATCAGGAGCCACGAGGTCAATGCTAAAGAACTTGAAACTATCATTGACTACCCAGATAGGAAGGTTTACGTCGGTTGAGACTCGACCCCGAGCATAAAGGTAAATTGATTAAATTTTTACGTGCTAACGCAAATTTCTTTGCTTGCCCCCATGCTAACATAACAAATATACTACCGGAGTTAATGACTTGTATGCTCATATTGACCACGCTATAATCCAGTTAAGAAAAAGACGAAATCGGAGTCAAATAATAAAGATGAAGTTACCAAACTTTAAAAGGTTTGTTTAGTCCGTAAAGTCGAATCATCCGGACTCGCTAGCCAACATCAACCCATCATTGCTTTCAAAATTCCGAGGAGAAAGATGGTCATTGGTATACCAAATTGTCTCGGAGGTCTCGATAAATGCAATCTTAATTCAAGAAGATAAAAGTACACGAACTCCTATCTATTATAAAATACTCTTAGACACAAAAACTAGATATCTACGTTTTGAGAAGTTGGAATTAATAGTAGCTACCTAAGTCTAAGGCTTTATTTTGAATGTCACCCAATTCCCGTAGTCACTATATTTTCATTACGCAATATTTTGCATAAACATGAAATGTTGGGAAGGCTAACTTAGTGAATATGATATTATTTATCAGTCACGTACTGCTATAAAATCACAAATTTAGCAGATTTCATGATTAATCTTAGCTCGAACATATTACCCGCAGCTGAAAAGGAAGTACATGTTGCTTCTGGGATATTATCGGATCTGAACCTTCTACAAAATTAGGTCCACAAGTATTAAAAGTCCCGGGTTAGGGACAATGCTAAATGCACCTATCAGAAAAGTAGCTAGACAATTTATAAAAGTAATGCTATTACTAACAACAAAGCCGAGTATGAAGCATGTGTTCTAGGACTCGAATTGGCTGAGGAACTCAGAGCAAAAATGTTAATTTAATTATTGATCAAATCTAACAAAACTATGCAGCCTTGAGAAAACCGAGCCAGATATGTTGGTCTCGGATCTACTGCTGATATCACTGACTCCAAAAATAACCCCAGGTTCTTATGGAGAAATATCATTTTCGGGTCAAACAGTCTCGAGATCGGATTCCTTATTCGGGCGATCCCCGGTCTATTATCAATTAGAGTGAAAATGAGGTATGAAAATGAGGTAAGCTCGACTAATTTAATTGTTGCAAAATAGATTCATTGATTACTTGTAGAATGGGTCTTTACCCAAAGACAAGCACACATTTTGACAATTCTGATTGCGCCTTATCCCGTACTGCCTTGTTGAAGAAGAATTATATTTGAGGATATTCAAGGGTGCCAAAGCTAAAACTCTGAGGACCATGAAAAACAGAATACATGATGCGAGAAATTCATAAACAGAGCTGTGAAAATTACTCCGATAATAAGGATTTAAATAGAAAACTCATCAAAAACGAGTATGGCTAGCTCAAATTAAAATATCACATGATGCTCGATAAAATTTCGAAACTTTTGTAGTTTCTGGCCAGAGTCAAAAAGAGCTATGGTATCGTTCCTATGTTGGAACTAGACCATTTGAAAGTCCATCAACATCATAACTAACTATCTTATCGAGGACTATTAAACTAGGGACTGTCAAATTATGATTACAGTGTTTGAATTCTCATACCTCAAAACTTGAACACTAGGGGAACTTCGCATACTGGAAGATTAGTTAATTTGACTTGACATTATAAGAAGTGATATAAACAGTTGATTGCCTTGGGATATAGAATTCCTAAGAGTATTCTGACATCATTTACTACCATCTCATTTCAGCCAGTTGCGTTGTTCATATCAAGCACGTACACTTCAAATAATGTTGAACAAGTTTTTCAACAAAATATATACTACATGTGCACAAAAAGGACTGAGAACTCCATTTCTGAGCGAATCCCACAATAAAAAAATAAGAGAGTTTTATGTCCTAGTCGAGAATGAAATTTTTCTAAGTGCATAATACGCAAATATGCCATTAGAATAAAGTTCACTTTGAACAAACACGCGACTCATATTCGGTTTGGCAACGACCAGAAGTTAAACATATAAGTCTTTCTTAACGGTACATTGTATTATATCTCGGATATATATCTCATTCGATAGTAAATGACTTACCATTTGACATTATACTTGGATCGATTATCCCGTATACATTAATAAAAAGATCAAATATCATTTTTATCATCTGGACTTGTGTCCCTCTATACTTGGAAGTATAT